TCAAATAGTAGCAGATTGATCTCAAGATGTCATTTACTATTTGTCTACAGTGACTACTCTGGCATTTTCTTATTTGTAGTCAGAAACCAAACAACTGATTTTCCACTTTCCTGCTGTCTCTGACCTTTGGGTAGTGTGGGCGGCATGTAAGTTCAATAAATAAACAAATAAATATTCTGCAGCCATAAATGGAGCAATAAAAGAATGCTCTTACATAGTGAACTCTGCAGGTGCAAAATTGCTCAAAACATACTGCTTGTACCTTCCTGGTCCCTTACTTACTTAACTGCAGCTGTGTCAAAGACCAAACGAAAATGTCTCCAAATTATGATTTGCTTATTTTATCATTTTCATCCTATTGAGTTAGTGAGGACCTTGGTAGAGAAAATCAGTGAAACATGAATATTTTAGGATATGTTTATGATACCATATCACTGGTATAAAACAGCAATGACTTAAAATGACTACTGAGGAAGATGAAAAAACAGTCAAAGAGCAGGATTATAGCTGAGCATTAGGAAAACAAGGATAATGACTACAAAAGAACTACATAACTTTAATGTTGACAAAGAAGAAATAACAGAAATTGAAAGTTTTCTATATCATGATTGAATCATCAATTCAAATAGATAGTACAGTCAAGAAATTGGAGAAAGACTAAGAGTTAGAAGGGCAGCTATGAAGGAACTAGAAAAGAGGAAAGGTTGGGATTTGTCACCAGATACAAAGATAATCCATATATGGTATTCCTGATTGCTGTGTGTGGATGTGAAAGCTAGACTGACAGGGAACAAATAGATTATTACAGTGTTAGAGGAGAGCGTTACAGATACCATGTTTGATGGAACCCTCTTCTATTCTACTCAGCAATATGAAGAACATGATTGGATGAAAGGAGAACCAATCTGGAGAAGACAAGAGATATTTAAAACAAGAGAGGAGAAGTGTAATCAGTTAACAGTTAAAGGAGAATCAATGAGAAGCTATTAGAGTGTACAGTATTTCAGGACAGTGTGGGTTTTCAGGGAGCTATTTATTATAGTTTCTTTGTATAGGATGGAACTTGTTTCTAGCATGGGAAGTTGATTCTTTTAATACATGAAACTTCAAGGTTATGAGAGTGCCTTGTAACCATTATGCTTACTAAATAAAGAATTTTATTTTATGTTTAAAACTCCTTGGTTCTTATTACTTGGGCTTAAGGATAGCCCAGGTGAAAAGACAAGGGAGGTCAGAAGGTGATTGGCCAGATAAAACAGGAAAGACAAATAAGTGGATGCTAAATCAAATCAAGCTTGAACTCTCTTTCACAAAGGAGTTTTATGATTTGTGTTGCTTTGTGTACATCATGAGAAGACAGGACTGAAAGAAAAAAGCAATAATCCTAGGAAGGCAGTATGAAAAGAAGATCTAACATGAGATAGATTGGCTTCATAAAGAAAACTGCAAGATTTATAGTCTGCAAAGCTCAAGTTCAGGTCCGCAGTAACAAAGTACTTCCCTAGTCCTGTGATATAGCTTCATCTGGCTCTTGCAATATTCTTCTAGA